GAGATTTGAACAGCCGAACTGCAGAACTGCAGTCAGCTGAAGTAGCCTACAGTGCTGCACTCTAACCACTGCACCACCTCGGCTCTTTGATACTATAGATAAAGTTTATTACAGAAAACTACACTGGAACACAAATGTTTTTTTTTTTATTAATATCTTGCGGAAGATTGCGTGGAACCAATCAATACCTGTAATTTTAATAATGACTGGCTTTAGATTGATACATGTACCCATCAATTAAAACCAAAACAAAATCTCTAATGTCGTACAAGAGGGTTAATATAGTGATTATTAAAAGATAAATCATCTGCTAAAATAGCGTACTACTTTTTTTTCAGGTATGATGGAATTTAGCCTTTTTGGAATATCCTACGTAAGTTTAATTCTCAATAATTTCAATTGTTTCTTTATATTGCTTTGAAAATGTGAGAGTGATATTTAAATATTTTTATTATGTACAGACTGGAGCAGATATCTGTGGCTTCAATGACAATACAACATATGAAATGTGTGCTCGTTGGATGCAGTTGGGTGCCTTCTACCCATATTCCAGAAATCACAATGGCATTGGATTTATAGTAAGTGTAGAAAATGTGGTTTTTAGAATTCACATTTCCTAACATGGTAAAAATTTCCTTCCGCAGAACCTCTGGTTCATGCTTTAAAATGCTATAGCTGTATCAAGCAATTATTCATGTTTTTGTCTGTCCCATTAGGAATGACAACTCAAGAAAATGCTGAGCAAAAAGTAATAATCATGATTGGTTTAGTAAGATCTGCAACTAAATCAGGGACTCTAGTGCAAAGCCTCAGCTCACCCTATATAGGAATAACAGCCTCCAAAGCTGCTCCATCCTATTACATCTTGTTGGAATGTGTCATCTGCATCTTCTTGAACTATATGAGAGATAATATTGTTTCCCAAACCTTTACATATGACTAGTGCATGATATTAATCAGTGTTAATATGGACAAACTTCCTTAAAAATGCTACAATTAAGTAAAGCTAATAATTCATCCAGTTAATCAACTTCTGATCTTGGAAAGAGATTTCCCAGAAAGGAAACTCTGTTGTCTGCAAGAAGTAAGTGGCATACTAAAAAGAAAAAAAGTGGAGTAAACTTCTCTCTCTTGGAAGGACATCTCTCTGCACATACAAAGCCAAGAGAGGCAATTCTGGATCAGAATAAAATTAAGACACTAGTGTTATGCAAAACAACTAAAATTTCCTCCAGCAAAGTGATATATTCAATGAAGGTTATCTGATTTGCTTTGCTAAAACTAAGAAGCTACCCAATTTGCCATGGCAAAGCAATTTGGGTAGCCTCAAACTACTTTGGATCATTGGTGCAGTAAAAAAACAAACATTTCTCAGCCTTCTCTGGAAACATTCACCAAAGTACTTCAAGTACTGGACAGCTTCAAGATAGCCTATAGCATGTGCCAAAGTCACTTAGCCTGGAAGACCTTTGTGTGAGCGAACAGTGCAAGCTGGGTGATCCCACGGTGCTTGCTGATGCAGTCAGCCTCAAACAGTTTCTCTGGTTATCATCTGTGACTGTGAATGATGGTGATAGACGAGTCACTGGTTAGTTTTCCTTTACCTGCCCATATCCACTGGCCAAAGAAGTGTCTCTTTGTGCAATTGTAAATTTGCTGTTTTAGCTTGTTTGTTCTGCTGTTGTTCTGGTGAGGGGGTTGTGCCAAAATGGGAACAAACAATTCAAGATATTAAATCCAGTACGTAGTGCAGGACTCTAAACTCAAGACATTCTGGATAGATGGCTGTCTACTTTCAATCCAAAAGCTTCTGGGTACACAGCATATCTCTCAGTAATTGATTTCACTGTTAAGCTACACTTCCACATAAAACGTCCCCTCAAAAAACATTTAATTAAGGAAGTAGGTGAAACTATTGAATCTTAAGGATTGATATAAGGACATGATTATAAATAAATTTATCTACATCTATCTACATCTACATGATTAACTGACATGATGGGATATAGTTATCCTTGAGAAAAGTAGGTTGAAGGTAACTATGATAGCACTCTTCAAATACTCAATATCAATAGAGGAAGGTTAAGATCTGTTTTCCTTTGTTTCAAAGTGCAGGATACAGAATAATGGATTTTTATCAAATTAAGGCTAATTCAGATTGAATGTTAGATCCTAACAGTAAGGGTGACAGTAGACTGTTATTCAGAGAGATTGCATCTTGGATAATAAGTTGACTGTGTGTGATTGTGGTTTATACTAAAGTATTGAGGCTATTAAAACCTGAAAGTGACTCTGAGGAGACTACAGGAATGGAATATTGCACCCAGTTCCGATAACCACAATAGAAAAAGGATATTAAAACTCTGGAAAGAGTGCAGAGAAGAGCAACAGGGATGGTTAGGGGGCTGGAGACTAAAACCTATGAAGAATGGTTGCAGGAATTGGTTGTCTTGTCTAGAGAAAAGAAGGACTAGGGGTGACAGGATAGCAGTGTTCCAATATTTATGAGATTCGCAGTCATCCAGGTCATAATGTCCCAAGGATGCTTTTTAAAAAGGCAATTGTACTTTGTTTTTCCGTGAAAACATTTTGCTTTCAAGGAACTGTTCATCCAAGAAGAAGTGTGAATGAGAAGCAAAAATCGAAGTGAAGAAGGAAAAACAAAGTCCAATTGCTTCTTGAAAAAGCACCTTTAGGACAGTGTTCCAATATAGGTCAAAGATATATTTTTCTCCCTTTCTCATAATTAGAACCAGAGAACAGCCAAGTGAATGGATTTGGGGGCGGGGGCAGTATTTATTTGTGGAATGAATGCATTAATTTGCCCATGGAATTTGTTGCTACACCATAAAGTTGCAATGAGAGTGTCTACCCTGGATTTTTTAAATATATGATTCAATTTTTACTAAAGAAAAATTAAACAATAAAAACTAATAATAGATAAAAACCAAAATACATCCACCTAAAATGATAAACTGTACCTTTTTGTTGTTAATACTTCCAACATAAATTGAGGTGGCTTTATACAGTCTAGATAATTTCTCAGTGACATATGCCACTTTTTTCTATCAGTTATTTTTGTTCTGCCATCTTTATATTTTTCCTAACATTTTTTTCTTTTCTCATTATTGATTTAAAATCCACCTACTGCACCCACATCTTTAAGTTTTACATTATTACTTTTATTCCAAGAGATTTTCCCAAAATTATTACCAAATCATTGGGAAATACCTGTAATTTAAGGCTGGTAATATTCAATATTCATTGCTCAGCATTGTAATATTGATACTTTATTTTCTGCAAATACAAATTGCAGAAGAATTTGTCTCTATTTTCTGTTGTGAGGATTCCAAAACCATCTGATTGGCCACTGTAAGAAACAAAATGCTGAGTAAGAAGGCATTTGGTCAATAGATCATGTTCTTATGATGGACTCTGGTTAATTGGATGTGTTCAGATGGAAGTTGATTTGAATGGCCAAAGACTCATTCAAAGTATATGGTTCTATAAATCTTAGGGTCTGCAAGAAATGCAGTGGTGACTTAAATCTGCAAAAATAAGAAGTTATGTTCCACACATTAATCCCTTAGTTATTTGTAACAAAAGGGGCAAAAAAAGAAAGCGAGCTGGAGATAAATCTCACAAATAGGCAGAGAAATTAACCGATCTGGCCTCTGCTGGCTGCTGTATTCCAAAAGGTGTCTCTCCTCCAAAGTGGAGAACAACAAGGTTAGAAATATATTGTAGGAAATAGGCTAACAGAGTGAGTGGGAAAATAAATTAAGGAGGAAACAACACTTGCATACTTACTAAGGCTAGTGAAGAAAGATCTAGTTTTATTGCATATTGATAAAAGACCAGAAATTCTGTCCTGCCAAATTTTAAATAGTTGCTGCTCAATTTAGGTGGACAGAGCTGTGAATTTATAACTGCTAGTCCACCATTCAATGTACTGCACAGTTTTTCTTTATGAGAAAGATTTTGTTCTATTTAAATATTCTTCCCCACTAATTTGCCATCTGTGAATAGTACATTTTCTATAAAATGTATATTCTTCAGTGTAATGAAGACTCTGTTTTGCCTCATTTTTGATGTCCCCTTATCATGAGTCTATGCAGGGGTGGGCTTCAAAAATTGCAGCAATGGGTTTGCTGCCCCATTGTTGGGTGGGTGTGGCCATGATGGGCAAAGCCTAGTTGGCCTCCTGCACCACAGCTGGGGCAGGGTGTTTTTCGCCGTCCCCAGGCTCCAGAAACTTTTCTCAAGCCTCTGGGAAGGCAGGAACTGCTTCCCCCGGGCTCCAGAGGCCAGAAATAGGCTTGTTTCCAGACTTCTGGAACCTCCAGTAGGCCTGTTTTCCTCCCTCCATGACCTGCACTTACCTGGCATGGTGAACGGGCTGTGTGGAGACTCCTGGGAGGGTGAGGGTGGGAGGGGTGGGCGTGGCCAGCCAGGTTTGCCATTTGGGACAACTGGGCAGAATCCTACCTAGAGGATCACCCAAATCTGTGTGAACCCCCAGCAGCCCACTACTGAGCCTATGTATTTGTGTTGGTCTGCATGTCCAGAAAACACAACATAGGCTGCATAAACTACACTCTTGGTCACATGGCTAGGAGAGATGGTGGAGGAGAGAGAGTGGGACAATTGCCACTACTTATTACTGTCCCTCTTTCTATTCCTTAAAGATGGGGGTTTGATCTCAGGTGTTTTTTAGTTTTTAATCCCTTAACCAAATATGATACATACTCAAAGTCAACATTTATTTTTCTGGATTCTCCCCTATTCCAAATTTGGTATTTTGGAAAATTACCTTGAAGATTGGCAAACAGAAACTGTCTTGAGCACTTTTACATAATCCATTCCACCAGCCCATTGGTTTGAAAGAACAAAAAGAAATGGTTCAGTTTTTAAAGAAAATAGAAACATATTTTAAGTCCACAATAATCAATAAGTGGCTCAGACAGACATCTCCCTAGTTCACAGGCATCTACAAAAGCAGAGAAAATATGGTACAATCAGATACGCAAGATTATATTATACCAAATCTAAATCAAAATAGTTTTTACTTTCTTGTGGCATTGATCTTTTGGTCTGGTATTCCAAAATGGGACTGACATCCATCTAGAAAATTCAAGTATATTATTTTAATTTTTCCCCTAATGCTTTCTATGCATGTAAAAATAGCAAAGAAATGTGGATATAGCAGCAGAGTGACAATTTCTGAAAATCTAACTATTATATTTATTTGAAATTTTAGAGGCAAGATCCTGTAGCTTTTGATAAGAAATTTGAAGACATATCCAGGAACGTGCTCAATACCAGATATACTTTGCTTCCATATCTGTACACACTAATGTATGAGGCCCATGCCCATGGTAGCACTGTTGTGCGCCCTTTACTTCATGAGTAAGTATTGAATATTGTTCAAAACTCATTTCAGGTATATGTTCTGTAGAAAATCCTTCTTTTTAATTTATAAAAACTGAATGTGTGTGTGTGTGTGTATGTGTGTGTGTATTTCTGTAGATTTTCACAGGTACAGGTATGTAGGTCTTGGCATATTCAGGTCTTTTCCTGTGTAAGATTGACAGTATTTTGCTGACGTCTTCACACGCCATCTTCAGGTTGGTACCTTTGGCTTCATGCTTCTGTGTGTGTGTGGAGTGCTGGCTTTGTTGTTGTAAGCAGGTTGATTGGCTGTGTTGTTACATCTTGATTAGTTGATGGAGTTGATGTATGCAGATTAGTCAGCTAGTCGGCAGTTAGCTTCCTCCCATAATTGGGGCTTACCAGGGGTTGTAAAAATCTAATTATATATATATAATTATAGGAATACTCGGTATCAAATTCTTCCTATGACTGCACAGAGAATTGCCATTTATAAAACTATCTGACTAAAGTTATTTATTTTTTCTTCAACAGAAGGAGCTGAGCTGAGCTCCTTCTTTGAACTGCATTTTTCTGGGGAAAAATTATTATACAGTTTCTATGTTATGTCATAATAGAAACAAAATACAATTAAACACAATTAAATATCTAAACATATACTATTCAGTGAATGTAAGTTCTTATAATTTATATTTAAAAGAAATAAAAAGACCCCAAAGTTTGAATATTATTTTCATTCATACACTGATTGATATGATACAATGAATTATTATTGTGTGTTACTCAATAGGAAAATTCTCTCTCATTGAAGAGCCATCAATAGGTGACTTTTAATTAATTAATGGTATGTGAGCTTTCAAAGCTTAGTTTTTGCTTGCAATAAAATAACAACTGAATATGTCCTTTTAAAAAAGGAAAACATGTCCTTCCTTCTTTAAAAAAAAAATACCTCAAAAGGTTGGAAATTAATCTCAAGAACAGCTACATTTCCCAACATTTAGAACAGTCTTTTTCAAACCAAATATACTATATAATTGCATTTTTGCACACCACCAGGTATTTGATTTTTAAAGAAGCATAATGCTGTGATCACTCTAGATCAGATGTTTAATCAGAATATACTGATAGTTTTGGATAACTTCTTCTGGTTAAGTTTTAATGGAGGAGGAGGAGGAGGAGGAGGA